AAAAAAAAAAAGAACTAAGACATCTTTATTTTGAGTCTGTCAAAATTACATTGATGAAACAGATCGGTCACTGATGTTCATAGAACATGACAGAGTAATTCCAAGAAAAAATATCAGCAATTTAGGATTACTAATCATGATTCAAAAATACCTTAGCACTTGAATTTGTGCCTTTATTGTGAGAGTGTCATCATCAATAAAACCATCTGATACTTTTGAAAGCTCCATGAACTTTTTCCATCCCCAATCATTCTCTTTCTCCCAGAACCGATGTAATGTATCTGTACAAAATTTTAATTCGTAAAGTTATGCTGAGTTTTAACAAGAAAAACTTGAATAGCAATGTAACAAAACCAACCAGAATATTTTGATTTCTTTGGATCCTTATTCACCACTGATATTGTAAACTGTGCAAAATGGCTCCAACCTATTTTGCAAAGGAAAGATATCGTCGGTGATTAAGCAAACTGAAAACCAGAATAGCCTTAAATAAGGTACTATTCAAACAGGATAGAACCTGGAAGGAGCTTGTCATGATTTTCGACACAAAGAAACAGAGAGAGATGATTGGAGACATCACAGCCTTGGGGATACAATACAACATACCTGCAACAATATTGTATAGCTTATGAAGGCTAAAGGAGGGAGAAGGACCAGTTTCCAGCAATAATTTACATACTCCTACAAGAAACATGCATAAATTCATGGGTGATTTCGCAAATACCAATGTATTCATGTGGGGGGAAAGAGCATCGGAAAAAGAAGACATGATAACAATTTTTTCTCATTGATGCTGTACAAAATAAATCTTAGTTTTCTAGAATGATATGCATACCAAAGAGATCACATTGAATTGAACACTGTGAAGAGGAAGTAAGAAAGAGCATAAATCTATAGTTGAAGATATATCATCCAAGATATCTGGGGAGATTATTTCCGGACATACAAGGATAACAAGGTATCGTGTCAGCTGGAATATATGAAGACATTGGCTTGGAATTCCATGGAGTAAAAAATGCACTGGGATTGGATATATTATTTCATTAGATACCCTCGTCCACATACCATTTGTAGCCCCCGACCTCAAATGCATTACTTCGAAGTTGTCGTTTGTTAAGTTGAGAAAATTTCTGTATCTTCCACGTATGTTTTCCATATAATTCAGAAGGCTTCCATTCAGCCACTGCTTCTCCAGATAATTGGCTGTGATGCCCATTGGCAATACTCTCCATCTTGCTCTCTGACAAAATAAGTTTGTTCACAATCTACTCTCACCTCACTGAATGATGCAACACCACGAGAGGTAGTAATAAAATACACACAGGTTTCGGCCTGTCCAATCAATTTTCTCCATCTTGAATCAAATTTTTCGATGCCCAACAGGTGTCTGCGTGCGTCTTCTTCTTCGTTGCCTGAAATTTATTTACTCCATTGCAGGCGGTGACTTCCAAGTCCTCTTTCACACATATTCTAAAGCGATCAACTTCAGGTATATTCCCCATTGGACTCAAGAAAAATGACAAATTTCGTCGATAAACTTGAAGTAATATCTATCAACTTTGAAATTACAAAATAATTAGCATAGGTCGGTTTGATAAATTTTAACTTTTTGCCGTTTTGTTTTCCACTTTTTTTCTACTTTTAAAAATAAAAAATCATTCATGTTCAGGGTAAAGACAAATTTATTTTATAGASAGTAATTTTAGATAGAGATTAGAGCGTCGGAGAGGGAGAAAGGTTAGTTAAAATAGATCAATAAAAGTTTAGAAATTTTGAGAGGGATAAATGGTAGGGATAGATAATTTAGACGGAGGGAATAAAAAGATAAAAAAGTATTTCTTTGAGATGAATTAGTGGAAGACTAGCTAGTCTTTTAAAAATGAGGGACGATCCTAAAACAACAGTGAGGTGGAATTTACAATATCTTGATTGGAGATATATGTTAATTATTGGCCTCAGGAGTACTTTTCTATATTAATTATCTTTATTTTATTCTATTTTCTCAACAACACTTTTCATTTCGTTTAGGGTAAACTTTATTTATTTTTACTTAGTTAAAGAGTTAAAAACAATAATTGGAGAAAGAAAAAGTCGAAGCACTAGACCGCAGTAACATACACAATCGATCCAGTGCACTTGACAAGATCTCCCTGATCGTCATCTATGCTCCGCCATCCATTCAAAAGAAATGGTAGCACCACAATTCACCTAGACACGGCCATCATAAATGGTTCCGACGACGGCGGCGTAGGCAGGTTCGGGGTAATCCATTCAATCTTTTTCTTTTTTTTTCTCTTTTTCTTAATTTTCCTCTCTCTGTTTTCGCTACAATCAAGATTCAATCGGTTAGTTTGTATGCGTGAAAAAAGACTATCCACCTCGAGATGTTGCAGGTCGAGGACTCCTTCTCCTTCCCCTTCTTCAAACTCCAATTCGTATTGTTCATAGAAAAATCTCTGATTAACTATCGAACAAGATCCATTTTGCATAATATCTTAGGGATTCCTTGGTTCGGGCSGAAGAAGCAATGTCACTCGATCATTATCAAATCGACTGCAATCTTTTTCTGTGAGGATCTCACCAGAGCGCCTTCTACAGTCGAATAGACCATGAATTAGATGAGAATCATTCTCAACGAGTCCATAAGAAGTGACCGGAACAACTCGATGAATTTAGTAGATCTTTTTTGGAGGACCCCATGATGATAGATAAAACCTATCCCATTTTTAGAGTGCGATGGTTGGCTGTTCACAGACTAGCTGTACTTACCTTCTCTTTTTTGGGGTCAATATCAGCAATGCAGTTCATCCAATGATAAACCTAATCCGAATGAGAGAGCTACGCTTCTATTTGTTTTGAATCTTAGATTTAATAATATGTGTCATATGAAATTAAAAAATTATAAATCTTCTATTTATTTTTTCTTAAAGATTTGTGGCGAAGTTTAAATATTCAGGGTTTTGAAATGGATATCGTTTATTACTAGTTTGAATATTCATGCAGTTAAAGTTTGAATTTGCTTACTAACAATTTTTGAAAAATATTTTAGTTTTTAGTACTTCTTTTCTTAAATTGTAGCTAAAATTTAAACCTAAAAATCAAAAGCGGTAACCATTTTAGATTTTACCATAATTAAAAACACAAAAAAAAAACTATTATTTTGTTACATTAAGCATAATACTTTATTTTACTTTAATGTTAAACTTTGATTTCTTGTCGTACATCAACGTTGTAATACTTGTTTGTATTAAGTTTTATATATGTCTTCGACTAAAAAATTATGGGTTCGAATCTTCTCACTTACTTTATAAGAAAAAAATAATAATAAATCAAAAGAATATGCAACAGAAAAGACAAAATTGACACTCCTCCTAGACTATTCCAAAGTTGATTATTAAATTTGTAATACAAGTCCAAAAAGGAAGATAAAGGAAAAAGAAACCAATATATACACGAAACTTACTCATAATATATTGACGATATTATTTGAGAGTCCAAGGTTAATTTAATAAAGGCGTCCTCTACTCAAAAGTTTCAAACTTTTTGATAAGAAAAAATGGAGTTACAAGCTCTGTATGTTTGGCTAGTTCGACCACTCAGAACTTTGATAGTCAGAACACAAATACTTCTTCATTCAGTAGCTCTTGTGTTGTTAATTTACTACAGAATTTCATTTTTCTTCCACAACCCACAAACGGGAGGCGTTCCCGCTTTCCCATGGCTTCTGGTTTTTGCTTCTGAGTTGCTACTCGCTTTCATTTGGCTCCTTGGTCGGGCCTATCGATGGCCCCACGTTCCCACAGCGACGGCGGAGGCGGAGGCGGAGACGGAGGACGAGGGGCTTCCGGCCATCGATGTGTTTATCTGCACGGCGGATCCGGAGAAGGAGCCGACGCTGGAAGTCATGAACACTTTGGTCTCCGCCATGGCCTTGGACTACCCGCCGGAGAAGCTCCACGTGTACTTTTCCGACGACGGCGGATTCCCTGCGACTTTACACGGTATCAGAGAAGCGCGACGATTTGCACAGTGGTGGGTCCCCTTCTGCCGAAAGTACAAAATCACGCAACCGTGCCCGGAGGCTTATTTCTCGGCTGCCGGAGAATATTTCCGCCGTGATATCCCGGCCGATCAATTTCTGGAGCAGCAGTTGATTATGGTCATAAGTTTGAAGAAATTATGGCAAAAAATTTAGATTTATTTTTGGGATAAAGGTTGATTTTTTAGTGTGCCATATCAGGAAAAATACGAGGAGTTTAAGGAGGGCGTTAGGAGTGGAACAAAAAGGTGGGCCGGAGACACCGCCACAAATTCTCGCACTAATCACCCTGCACTTATCCAGGTAATTTGTCGTTACGCATTTTTCACTTATTCTTATTTTATAATAAATGATATGGTGAGATGACACAGATATATTGTAGTGGTTAATCAGTGAAAGTAGAGCATATTATAAAGTTCTGAATTATATATGCGATCTGTAAAAGGAAAGGGATATTTGCAGGTAATAGACAACGATGATGGTGCAGAAGAATTGAAGAATGAAAGTCAAACGATAATGCCTCTTCTTGTGTATGTATGCCGTGAGAAGAAGGCTTCCCACCCCCACAATTTCAAGGCTGGAGCCCTTAATGTCCTCGTATGTCTTCACTTTCTATTTCTTTCTTTCTCACCTTTTAAATGTTTGGTTTGCAAAAGGGAGGCAAAGTCCCATATTATTGATACGAGGCATTTTGGGTGAAACAAGAGTACGTTGAAAGCGGACAATATCATTCTATCTTGGAGATACTTGGAGTAGTGTTGTCCGTAACGGGAATTAGTTAATTAGTTAATGAATTATGATTATGGTTATGGTTACAGCTTCGGGTGTCGGGTGCGATGAGCAACTCAGCATACATTCTAGTGCTGGACTGCGACATGTACTGTAATGACTCGACTTCAGCCCGCCGTGCGATGCGGCTCCATCTTAGCCCCCACTTCTCCCCCTCTCTTTCTTTCGTTCAGTTCCCTCAGAAGTTCTACAATGTCACCAAAAACGACATCTATGACAGCCAGATCAGATCTATCTTCACGGTAACCACATTCACTCACATTTCTTCAAAATTAAAGTAGTGATGAATGATGATGAAAATTTCTGACTTCGAGGTTGTAGATTGAATGGACGGGCATGAACGGCCTCCGGGGCCCGATTCTCTCAGGCACTTGCTTTTACATAAAGAGGCTCTCCTTGTATGGAACTTCCCCACATGGTATGCATCCATTTTTATGTTTCCCCTGCACCCAAAAAACAGCTTCTTTCATGTATGATTATGTTCTATACATGTCTCAGATAATGATCCTTTAAACCACCGAGAAGATTTCGGTGCATATTCTGACGAGTTCGTCCAATCTCTGGGGTCAAGCTGGAAGGTCAATGGGATTAATGGAAGGGATTTTGTGGCTCAATCGTTTCTGGCTTCATGCACTTACGAAACAGGAACACAATGGGGTCAAAAGGTAGATTACAAGCTACTCCTAGTCCAAGATAGATTCTTTATTAACTTTGACTACTTTTTTTTGTGCTTTAATATGATCCATTTGTGCAGGTTGGATTTCTTTACGATTCGGTGGTGGAGGATTTCCTGACGAGTCTGGTTTTACATGGCAAAGGGTGGACATCCGTGTACTGCAATCCTGAGAGCGCGCAGTTCTTGGGGAGTGGGACAGCAAGGCTGAACGAGGCGTTGGTTCAAGGCACCAGATGGAGCTCCGGGCTGCTGGAAGTGGCCATCTCCAGGTTCTGCCCTCTGCTCTACGGCTGCCGGAGAATGTCTGTGCTGCAGAGCATGTGTTATTCTGAACTTGCCTTTTTACCTCTTTATTCCTTCTCTTTGTACTGCTTTTCTACCGTCCCTCAGCTCTGTTTGCTCAATGGAGTTCCTATTTACCCCAAGGTACTCTTCTCTCCACTCCTTCCATGCCATGCATGGGATTCGTTCACGTTCATGTTTCTTGTTTTTTATTCTTCATTTTTAACAAAGAAAAATGAATTGCATGACCACAACTCCCATGATTTCAAGTATGATAAGTTAATCTTTTTATTTATGTTTTGAAACAAATTGGGAATGGAAACAAGAAAAAAGAAACTTGTTTTTGTTGTTTCAAAGTTTGTATAAAATTTTGAGAAATGTTTCAAAAAAAAGAAGAAACAAGAAACATATTTAATTGTAAAATGCTTAGATTTCTTAAGAAATTTGGAAATGAACAACAAAAACGGGAACGTTTCCAAACGGACCTGAATGTTTGACCTCGTGTGTGCAGGTTTCTAGTCCATTCTTCCTCGTATATTGCTTCATCTTCATCTCATCATTATCCATTCACCTGCACGAGGTCCTAATTTCTGGAGGTACACTTAAAAAATGGCTAAACGAACATCGGATGTGGATGATCAAGGGAATCACGGGCCGTTTTTATGGAAGTTTGGATGCTTTGATGCAGAAAATTGGGTTGAGAAATGCCAGCTTTGTGGCCACAAACAAAGTGGTGGATGACGACCAAATCAAGAGGTACAATATGGACATGTATGATTTCCAAGCTTCGACCTTGTTTCTTGCTCCAATGGCGGGCCTCGTCTTCTTGAACCTCGTCTCCTTCACCATCGGAATCGGCAGAATCGTGCGTCTCGGCAGTTGGGAGGAGATGTTTGTGCAGGTTTTCCTTTGCTTCTATATCTTGCTGGTGAATTTCCCAATCATTGAGGGCATGGTTATAAGATCTGATAAAGGTTGCTTCCCATTTAAAGTCACTTTAGGATCGGCTTTGGCTGTATTGATAATTTCGTACTAGACTCAATTCTAGTTATGTTTAAGTAATGAATTACAGTTGTTTAGAATCTAGTTCAAAGGATTGCATTTGTTGACATGTTTAGTAATGAATTGGAGTATATGGTGGAGTCTAGTTCAAAGTATTGTATTTTTTAACATGTGTATATCATAAAATTGTATTACATACTTGTGGGACTCAAGAATTGAGAAAACTGATCAAACTCCATTGACTTAGATTCAGTTAAATTGATCAGCAATCAGTTTTGTGGGTTTGGGTCCATTTTATCATTGGAAAGAATTGTAAATCTATATCATAAAGGATAGAAGTTCAAAGTCTACTAAGATAAGACACTCATGATTTCTAAAATGATTTGACCCACCACTTAGAGACTAATGAAATAAGGTACAATAAAAAAAATTGAAACTTTATAACATACACAAATAAAATTTAACAAACATACCGGCAATAACTACCTTTACAATTTAACAAATTTTTATATAAATATGAGCTAGGTTAAAAAATGCTAGTCCTTTGATCTCAAAGAACCCAATTGGTACATTTTTCACCATAAGATATGCTGAAAGTGGCAAAACATAACCAATCTTTTGGTTGTTGAGAAAGGTAATTGAAGGGCATGGTTATTAAATTGCAATCCAAGGAGCATACCCTCTCAGAAAAGGAAGGAGATTTATAGTTGGGAGTTTCACATGCATCATCTTCATCTCCATCGCCATGTTTAAATACTTCACCTTCCCCCTCCAACCTTTCACAAGAAAACCGCTGCAAAACCCCCAAATTTACTTTCATTCTCAGCCTTTGGCCATAGCCACACTCCAATAAAATCCACACCCCATTCCCATCTTCGTATGAATCCTTGTCGCCAAAATTCAAATTCAGTCCGGTGAGGTCATCATGAATGATCAAGAAGAACCCAAAAGGCCCCAATTCCCTCTCGATTCAAGCTCTTACAGAATCATCGACGAAATTGGGGTCGGCGTGAGCGCCGTCGTGTACAAAGCCATCTGCATTCCCATGAACTCCGCGGTGGTGGCTATCAAATCCATCGACCTCGACCGATCGCGGGCCGATTTTGACGATATCCGAAGGGAAGCCCAAATTCTGTCGCTTCTCTCTCACCCCAATATTCTCAACGC